TGAGAGAAAAGTTTTGTTTGTAAAATATTTTCGAGAGTGGCACTGAAAAGGATTTTTAAGATCTAAAATATGTTAGAGTTAATCGTGGACAAAAGCTGCATAAGATCGGTTAATATAAGATTGATCTTTGAGGGGGTCAATTTTACCTCTTATTAACTTCTGTCCTTTTTTATTGTAACTCTTTCTTAATGCTCCTCCGTGAACAATGGTTACAGTATGGATTTTGATTAGCGCTCTTTCAAACACTAATTCATCAATGACAGTTTTTGCTTGTCGTACTTAAAACGTTTGTTTTACTTTCAGTGAGTAAGTGCTTCGACTTTCTTGTTGTAGCTAGCGACAATGATGGAGCAAAAGTAGCAACACAGATTTTATTGGCATTTCATCTATTATTTGTGAATATTTTAATCCTTAATTTATTGATTGCAATGTTAACGTAGGCCTGATCTGTTATTAATTTATTTAACTAAAACCGTATCATAATCAATTATTTCAGATTTACAATAACTGCTGTGCAAGAAAATAAGGAACTTATATGGGCTTTCAATCGTTATGGATTAATACGTGAATATTATTTTCGTCCACCAGTATTTCCACCACTTACGATATTTGTACATATTTATTGGTTAATAAGGCATATTTGGTTTAGCTATATAAGAAAACAACTCGTAGCAAATAAACAATTTAGTATGTATTTTCTTAAATCAGTTTTCGATTGATTATGAGTTGTTTCTTGTGACCATATCTAGAATTGATTGCTTCTGATAGTGTCAGGGTTGAAAAAGAATGGATCAATTTTGAAAGTTATTCAGCAAATAATTATGTACGAAAACTATTAGGATCAGCAGAATCAGTATTAGTGAATACAAAGTAAGTGTGCATGAAAAATTTCATTAGTTACTTTTTTTACACATACTAAAAAATAATGTGTCGCATATGTCACAAATTGCGACATATTCTGCGACGCCGGAAGCTACTTGCGTTGTGACACATTGTTTACGTTGAGGTTGCGGTATATTTCCATGCGACACATTCCGCTGAGTATTTCTGTCATAGAGACAGCAGCAGAATTAACTATTTTTCATCCACTGTTCGCTTTTAAAATATTTCAAGTGAGTTTTGGGTACATGCACTAAACTCCCTCCCGCCACCATAATAGAAGATCACCTAATCTGCTATTTTGTCCGGCAAGCCGAATTCTAAGGGTCAGTCTTCTGTTGCGATCAAGTGCTGTCGTCTGCTGGTAGTCCAGTAGTACTTGAAGTTCATCTCTACCAGAACAATATCTTGGCGAAATTGTTTTGAAAATTAAAAATAGGACATTAACCGATTATTATTGACGGACATAATAGAAAACCAGTAGTCTTCTATTCTAGAAGGGGGTTGGAAGACCACGGTCTTCTATTCGGCTTTCAAGTCATATAATCGGCAGTGGTCTTCTAATAAATAACAGTCTTCTATCACGTCGAGAACCTTAATCTGCGTGTGATATTCACAGGTCTTTAAAATATTTAGTTTCCGAAACCTGGCATTAAGCGTTCACTCCACAGAAATGGTGACTTTGAATTGGCGCGTTGAAATTGAAAGAATTTCAAAAACTCAAAAATGTTCTTATCTTTTACGTATTAGCGCCCTATTATTAGCGCCATCAAAACTGAAGAGAAACCGAGAAAAAATTGTAATCAAGACTGCTGAGGGTAGTAGAACATAAAATTTGGCAACCTTTTGAACATAATAGATTCTAAAATGACTTCAAGAACTGTGTCTGGAAGTTTTTAGTAACGGTGACACAAACATGCGACACATTGTTTTCGACAGAATTTCTCACAGAAGCTGCGAGATAAACGTACGACGCATTATTTTTTTACCCTGCATATATTAAATTTTTTCTCTTTTCATATAGTGAAGGAATAAAGTTTCCGTTAAATGAGAATTCAATTGAAACAAAAATCATTGAGAAAGATTTAATGGTTAAATTCGAAACACAGAACAATAAACTACAAGGAATGGATACATCAATTGAACAACTCAAGATTCAAGTGGAACATGTAAGTTTGAGATAAACAAGCGGTACATTATGTATGTCATATAGATTTATGTTTTTCTTCAGCTTATTAATTGTTCACAACAGATAATGAAAGGATTAAAAATATCGATGGAGGAAGCATCAGATAAGCAAGATTTGAGTATGTATAAACAACTTATCTTAAAATGAAATTAACTGTGTTGTCATTTTGATGATATTTTTCTTCCATAAAGGAGAAGCTGAAAAGAAACCACAAGCTGATATGAAACACGAAGCTGACAGTACTGAAGATATCTCAAAAATATCGTCAGTCCTATCTTCATGACATTTCTTTTCTATCAACATAAATAAAATATTCAAAGAGATGGGATTTTGTTTTTTTATATAATTTTTATTAAAAGTTTAATCATTAAGTGTGGCAAACTCGTTGCAACGTAAGCAACCTGTGAACATAAAGACGAAAATTTCAAGTTAAAATAGAGAGAAACAAGAACAAGAAGTAACAGAGTTCTCCCTACAAAAAGAAACAGAATAAAAAGCACAGTGAACAGCGATATCGTTTATATGAAAGCATAAGGGGAGGTACACTACAGGCATAGATCTAACAGGAATGGTCAACAGAATAAGTAAGCAAGAATAAGTAAGAACAAATGAATGAATAAAATAATTGAATAAAATGAGATTCACATAAAGCGATTAGTACTTTTTATTAAAGTCGCACGGCAGTAGCAATTTTTTTCATTGAATCAGTACTTACATGCCCAAAAGTAGAAAGGTTCAAATTGGAAGCATTAAGAGAGACTTCGCCAGTCGATCGAGTATCTTGCCAAAGACCGGTCACAAGTGAAAAATTAACATATACTTTTTATTTCGTATTCGGATTCTACTATCAAAACTGGGGTTATGAAAAATATGAAAAGACTTTCTGACTTATTCTGGCTGAGTTGTAGAATTTACAAAATGAGCACCATCGTCGATTTGCGAAAAGTAGCTATCTCTGATATTTTGTCTATAACTCCGCTATTTTTTATCTGTTCTGTTCGAGCAACATCTCATTCGAAAGCCTAATAAAAAGTAAACAAAATCACATAGTTGCTAATTTTTGGAACTTTTACACCACTTTTAAAGCAAAGTTTTTGCGGTCAGTTTGTGGAAAATTGAATT